GGGCTGGCGGAGGGAGGGGGCAGCTCTGGTCAGGACGCGAGTCCACCTTTCCAGTGCTTATATACCCAACGAAGCATCCCAAACACGCACCCCCGGGCGCGCGGCCCCTGCTCCTGCTCTTCCCTCCCTGACCATATTTAGTCAACCACGGCAAAAAATAGCCCGTCAGCTGGAGCCTGCCGAGCAGGGCTTGGAGTTCAATCGCTCCTCGCAGCCCATTGACTACTGGTCCTGCAGGGTCCTGACTCTGCCTTTTTTTTCCCCTCTGCTATTTTTAGCTAGGCCAAATAAAGAGGGAGCTCATCTTACTACTCTGTGCCGGCCCGAGGTTCCGCGGGGCCCTGGCTATGTTTGGTAAGTGCCAGCGTTGAGAGACACAGAGTGGAGACCTTGTCCATGCTGGAAAACCTTCGGCTGCCTCCCGCTTTGGTTCTTTTCTTCTCCTTTCCTTTCTTTCATCTGTATTTCTTCCTCTGTGGTAGAAAGGTTTCCAGGTGAGAAGGTGGAGAAGAAACTCAAAAGATCCCGATTTTCACCTTACAGAAGGAAGAACTGCGTTTCAAAAACCTCATGCTGGGGCCAAGTCCTTCACCACAATGTCCTGGGCACCTCATTGTCTGGCCATGTCTGTCTTCCTGTGTTTCCAAAGGTGCTGAAAGCTGGGGAGGTGTTGGACTTTCTGCCCTACATGGAGAGCAGTGGGGACCCTCATTGCCAGGCAGGGAAATGCCCCCGTCAGCGTGGTCAATGTGGACCACCAGCACAGTGGAGTCTCCCAGGTTATGAGGATCTTTCCAACCTTCACACTTTCATCCATTGCTACAGCAGTGAGGGGAGATTTTGGCAGTGCAGGCACTGCCCTTGGCTAGTGCCCAGAGAAGCAAGTGAACATCTCTAGAAACTTGAGTTACACCCAGCTTCCAAGTGAAGATGGCCAGGGCCCTGGGGAGGTCACCTGGGGATAGCAGATAAACGGCGGCAGACGTGGCCATGTCTGCACTCAGCCAACCTGTCCTGCTTGCTTGCAGCAGACCCCATTCTGGAGCAGCTCCCCAGCCCCATGTCCCTCCATGCCAGGCTCTCTGCAGGTCTCTACACCTCACTGAGGCTCCCCAGAAGGACCATGGCACCTCAGACCCCAAAGGTGCCTCATGTTGCTGATAGATCAGCGCTGTGAGTGGGCTTTGGGGGATCAGGGATCAGGGAGGGACCAGGCCTGGCAATGGATGCATGGCTGGTGGTGGCTGGATGTGGATCTGGGTCGGGAAGTTTGCATGAGCCTGGTGAGGTGCCCAACACCCTCTGCCCCTGTCAGCAATCCATGGATGTGGAGTGGTGTGTGACAGGGACAGCCACCCACAGATACCCACCTCCACTTGGGACATCCCTGGGAGACCATCAGGCAACACTCGTCTGAGGCTGTTGGGAGCTGATAGCAAGACATCTAAGGACAGGAAATGCCTTCAGGAACCACCCCATAGTGCCACGAGGTGGGAAGGGCTCCCAGGATGTCCCAGAGGTGTGTCTCTGTGCTCTCAGGTCCCCAGCTCCGAGGACAATGCCAGAAATAGCCACTACCAGTGACGTGTCTGCTCTCTGTGCTGGGCTGCTTTGGCCTTTTCTCTGTCTCATCCTGAGCTCGGCTGGGAACCTGGATTCCCTCTGCTGCCCCCCACTCCAGGACAGGCTGTTCCATATAATCAGTGTTTGGACAGCCCAGGACAGGTGTGCGGCAGCAAAGCCACAAATTCTGGTGTCCTGTTGGTGCCAGAGCCATCTCTGCAGTGACCACAGCATAGATCAGCCCTCAGGCAGCTCTGTCTGAGTCCAGGAGCCAAACCTGGCACCCCTCATAGGGCTGGCAGTGGGGACAGAGATTGCAGGACAGCCTGTCCCCCATGCCCACTCCTCTGCCCCAACACGGTCCTTGTGATCACCGCTGCCCCCTCTGCACCCTCTGCTCGTTTTCCCATGGAGCAGCAGGGAGTTTCTCCCCAATGACATAAACCACTGTTGGGTTTTTCTCCTCCCTTTTCCCAATGTTGCAGGGATGTCCGAGCTGCTCCTCCCTGGACATCAGTCTGGACTGTCAGTGCTTTCCCAGCCTGTGTCCTTTCAATAACTGAAGCCATGGAAGCTCTCCCTCACCCTGACTCACCTCAGGATCACGCCAGGAAGGCCTTTCCCCAAAATCCCAGCCCAGCCAGCACAGGAGAACATTGCCTGGTATTTCCTGGGGAGCACTTGGGTATTTTGAGAACCCAAGTGCCAGGAGCAACAGGTTCTCATGCTGTTTTGGGGCACATCTGAAATCAGAGTGCCTGGGGTGTGTGGCTGCCTGTGCCCCAGCAGGACCCTGCCCTGGCCACAGGGGAGCTCTTAGGAACCACTCACTCTTAGAGCACAGCCATGCCCTTCTTTGGATTGAGCGAGTTGTTATCACCTCCCTGACAGGTTCCCCGGGGTGGAGAATCCATCCCCACACCGAGATGTGCCAGGAACAGGAGCAAACTTTAAGGGGAGATGAACCAAGAGCAAATCTCTGAGATGCGAATTAAGAGAGCGTTTAAAACCCAGACCTGGGTTTTGCACACAGATTTCTTCTCTTCACTAATTGCTTTAAAAAAACACACTCACCCCTGAGCTCCTAATGGGACTAAAATATCTGTGTTCTCTCCAAAGTACGTGGCATCTTTTTATCAGGACTTGGTTTGGGGCTTGTTCCATGGGCTGATAATGCTGGGAGTTGGGGATGCAGGGAGTGCTGGGAGAGATGGGGCCTGGAAGTGCAACCACCATCATCACACAGGCTTTATATATATGTATATATGTATATATGTATATATGTATATATGTATATATGTATATATATGAAAAAATATATATTATTAGGCATATATCTATTTCATACATATATACATGTATGAAATATATCTATTTCATACATATGTGTATGAAAAATATATAAAAATATATATATTTTTTCACACATATATACACATATGCCTAATAATATATTCATGTGTGCACATAATAATTCTGCATTAAAACTACTCTGAATGAAGAAACCTGAGGAAGCTGCTCGGCAGCCTGTAAGGCTGAGCCAGTTCAAAGTGATATGTGAGAGATTGCAACACTCCAAACAAAATGCAAGATGTTACTTTAAAAGAACCAGGCTCGGGCTTTTGAATTTATGTAACCTAAACTGATTTTGTCTGTTTAAAATTGTTGTTGCGTGTTGGGAATCTCAAAGAGGTGAGGAGCAAAGCTGCAGACGTTTCCTTTGGAGTCCAAGATTACAAGCCCCTTTGCTTCTCCCTTCAGCTCCAAAGCTGTTAATGGTTTGCTTCATTTTATTAACAGCAGACAAGAAAAAAAATTCCTCCTCGGAGCCTGTGTGAGGTGACAAGCTGGATAATAACAGCTCCTTTGGAAGTTTTTATAGTGCATTAGGCAAACATAGTGGATGTTTATAGACTTTTAAAAATGCTGATTATATAAAAATGCATTTATAGCCTTCTAAAATACCAAGCTACTGTAATATAAATATTTCCAATAATAAAAACTAAAAACGCGAATTATTGGCTTGATTGGAGCATTTTTTAAAATTGATTTCTCCTTTCCTTTGGGCCAAAAGCTGATCTCAAACCATAAAACTGGCCAATACCCTGTGAAATGAGTCAGGTCAGTCAGGCTTTCACATCCTGCAGAAGATGCTGCACTGTGCTGGGATGAAGCCAAAGTGACCGGACCATGCACCCCATTCCCCTTGCCAGCACCTCAAACCCCTCTGGCCCAAGGGAGCTCCTGGGATGCCCATTGCACCTCCAGCTGGCACAGCCACCTTCCCTCCTCGCTGGTGCTTGAGGAGGCTCTTGGTCACCCAGTGCTTGGTCTTCCTCTGCTCTCCACAAGAACTTGTATGAATAATTAATTTTTTATTGGCACAGGAGCCGGAGTGTGGCTCTGTCCTGTTCCAAGCTGATAAGGTTGCTGGGGATGTGCCTTCTCCCTTTCTGGTCTTTTTTTTCTTCCCCTACTTTGACACGAAATTCCATCAGTAGGTGGAATTAGCTTTTGCCAATGGCAGTTGTCTCAACACAGATAAATTCTTTCAAAAAATTAAGCTTCTGACAATTTGGCATGTTCTTACCAAAAAATACTGCAAACAGTTAGTGAAAAATGAGTTATGCTTTATTTTATAAATGCAATCCTTTTTTTTTTTTTTTTATTACTTTGTCTTTCATTAATATCTGGGAAAGACCAACTCTGGGCTTTGGAGCTGCCTGCAAAGTCCCCAAAGTCAGCATGAGATCAGACTTTTAAAACATACAATACACAGTTTAACCCCAAAGAAAAGGATTTATTTCAATTTCATCTCCCTGGAGCTAATTTTCTTCCTTCTGGTCATTTAAGTTCTATTTTTTAAATAAAAATCAATTTTTTTTTCAGTGACTCACCTCTCCAGTAACAGAGCCCATTGCAACATTTCCCATTACTTAAGAAAATCTCAGCCCCAGTGGTGAGGAGGGATGGAGGGAAGATGCTGCCTACAGCTCTGCCACCAGATGAAAGCAGC